TGGTAGATAGAACTGGACTGGAGGGGTCCTGGCGGGTAGAACTGGACTGGAGGGTCCTGGTAGATAGAACTGGACTGGAGGGATTCCTGGTGGGTAGAACTGGACTGGAGGGGTCCTGCCTTTGGTAACTGATCACTGATACTAATCACTCATATTGATCACTGCTGGACTGGTGCTGGACCTGTTGAACTGAGTCCAAGTCCTACGTTTTACTTTAATGTGCTGAAGTGATGAAGCTCATGGATCAGCAGGAATGAGTTGTCAGCAGTTTGACAGTCAGCTCTTAACAGCTGCTGGGGCTCAAAGCTGCTTTAAAACATGGAGGTTCCTCATGGCTGCTTCTCCACATAGCCATGGCTTCACTTCACTGTAAGTTATTACATTTACCATGAGGACAGGAGAAAACCCTCATGTTTAAAAAAAACTTGAAACCTGAAATGCTTAAAATGTGAAACCTGGTGGACGGGAGATCCGCGGTGAAATGCTGACCCCAGTTTGACCTGCAGCCAGTTACAACACCGCCGTGAAGTAATATGGTCAAAGGCTCTTGTTGTCTACATGCTTCAGATGTAGAACCGCCTCCGTCAGCTGAATGTACAGGACAGGCTGTAAACGGGACAGCCTTCATCTCACAGTCCGGCTCATGAGTCCAGAAACCTCATCAGAACTCGTCCTCAGTGCCTGTAGTTCGAAACATGTCTCCAAAGCTAAAAGGTAACGCGTGTTTAGAGGAACGGAGCAGTTTAGGTATAGATGTAGACAACAGTCGACTGTGTAGCTTTTTGTTTTTTTTACATTTTGAATGGCAATGATGAATATTTGAACAACTGTCACAGCTTCAGCACTAACACTGGCACTTTTAGTTTTTCAGACTTTTGACTCCCTAGTTTATATTTTTCATCCAGTCTTCACTGAACTTCACATGTACGATGTTTGGAGCACCCTGAAAAACATCCAGAAATGTTCCATGTATTCGACATGAGACATGATTTATTGCTGTTCTCAGACCTGCTGTCGGACTCGAGTGGGTGTGGTTCGATCCATTCAAACTGCTCTCCCCGGATCCCATCTCAGTAATCCCTTTCCTCGACTCCTTCTGGCATCTTAGTCCCTCCCTCCAGAGGAGTTTTGGCAACAGCTGTTTACCACAATGTAGCCGTCCACACCTTGGAGCTGTCGGGTTAAAGTCGGGCCGATTACAGCCCTTTTCAAAATAGTCATCGTCAGTTTTGCTGATTAAACGCTGATATATTCTAATTTTCTCATAAAACAGGAAATGCTGTTAAATGTCACAGAATGCTGTTGTTGCTCCGTCTGTCCACTAGATGGAGCTCTGCCTCCATTCAGTCCTTCAGTTCTCACCGCTGTCTTCTCAGTAGTACAGAGGAAGCTGCAGCCAGGCAGCATCCCAGGACTGGGCTAAGCGGAGCTACTGACAGATACATTCAGAGCCACG